AATATGGACTTAAGTAAGCAAAAATGTTGGGTATTTCTATATAGTTATTCTTAATGATTGTCATTGGTACCACATGGCCTGATTCCTTTCGAAATCAGACAAAATCACGCAGGTTCACCAGAAACTCCTTCAGCTCAGACTCTAGCGAGGCTTCCTGGCAGCGACCAGTCCACTGCTTCGCTGCTCCGGCGGGTGGCAGAGAGCTCCAACCCTGGCAGTAGCAACTCCTCCAGGAGCAGAGCTTTGCCTCGCTGTCGCTGCCCGACATCATGCTATTCGAGGGCCAGGCCATATTACTGGGTTCGCTGGAGAGAAGGGAGCCAAGGGAGAACCAGAACCAGGACTGTGCAGGGCAAACCGTCAAACCCTGTGCCAGTAAATTGATCGGTTTTCTAAAGGTGATTGGTGCTCGGATCGCCAAAATCAACACAAAATGAAAGTTTATGGAGCGTTAAAAGGGTTTAATGTGAATCATTTATTTAAGATAAAAGTTGGAATAACACTGAACTAATACTAAGGGCATTTCATCACTAGACCATGTTGTTATGACGTGTGTATCGTGTTAAGATTTCGAGACGCACAACTCTGTTATCAGCCAGTATACTGGTCTTTCAAAACAAAAAAGTTATGTTTAAATGCCATTTAAATGAATGGCGGGCGGATTCACAGACACTGGACTCCCTCCAGAACCAGTGAGCGTTAATGCTGGGATGTATCTGCATGCTTGAGGCCTGCTTCGGGCCGGTCGTGAACCGAGGCTGGCTCAGCTGTTTTCGCAGCCAGGTTCAGCCTGGATCTAAACACACTGGAAGCTGAAGCGGGCTGGGAGCCAGACAGAGGGAGAGAGAGAGCCGGTGGCCGACAGTGGTTTGTGTGACTGGCTTATCAACACAACGGGCTCTAGCTGAACAAATTGCCTTCTCTGTTCACTGTGATTAGACTGCAACCAACACACACACACACACACACACACACACACACACACACAGACAGTGACAAAGTCACACTTTGAGATGATGTGTTGGCAATCAGAGACCAGCAATTGCAGCGAGATTTCCTCATATCCTCCTTGGAGAAGGGCCCTTCAAGGACACTAGGTCAGTATGTACAGTGCCTTGCATAAGTATTCACCCCCCTTGTACTTTTCTACATTTTGTCATGGTATAACCACAGATTCAAATTTATTTCATTGGGATTTTGTGTAATGGACCAACACAAAATAGTCCATCATTTGGTAGTCGGGGGAAAGTTTACATGGATTTCAAAATTATTTACAAATAAAAATCTGAAAAGTGTTGAGTGCATATGTATTCACCCCCTTTACTGTATAACCCCTAACAAAGATCAAGTGCGACCAATTGCCTTCACAAGTCACATTTGCAAGTCACATAATTAGTAGACCTGTCTGAAATTTAATCTCAGTATAAATAAACTTGTTCTGTGAAGGCCTCAGAGTTTGTTTGAGAGCATTACTGAACAAACAGCATCATGAAGACCAAGGAGCTCACCAAACAGGTCAGGGGTAAAGTTGTGGAGAAGTATGAAGTAGGGTTAGATTATAAAAAAACATCCCAAGCTTTGAACATCTCACGGAGCACCATAAAATCCATCATCAGAAAATGGAAAGAATATGGCACAACCACAAACCTACCAAGAGAAGGCCGTTCACCCAAACTGACAACCCAGACAAGGAGAAAATGAATCGGAGGAGCAACCAAGAGGCCCATGGTAACTCTGGAGGAGCTGCAAAGATCCACAGCTGAGGTGGGAGAATCTGTCCACGGGACAACTATTAGTCGTGTACTCCACAAATCTGGCCTTTATGGGAGAGTGGCAAAGAGAAAGTCACTGTTGAAAAAATTCGCCCAAGGGCATGTGGGAGACTCCAATGTCAATTGGAAGAAGGTTCGTTGGTCTGATGAGACAAAAATTTAGCTTTTTGGCCATCAGACTAGACGCTATGTTTGGTGAACACCAAACACTGCACATCACCACAAACACACCATCTCCACCGTGAAGCATGGTGGTGGCAGCATCATGCTCTGGGGATGCTTCTCAGCAGCAGGCCCTGAAGGCTTGTAAAGGTAGAGGGGAACATGAATGCAGAAAAATATCCCCAAATCCTGGAGGATAATCTGACTCAGTCTGCAAGAGAACTACGACTTGGGAGAAGATTTATTCTGCAGCAAGACAACGACCCCAAGCATTCAGCAAAAGCTCCACAGAATGGTTCAAAGACCACAAGGTGAATGTTCTGGAGTGGAAGTCAAAGCCCAGACCTCAATCCAATCCAGAATCTGTGGCTGGACTTGAAAAGAGCTGTTCACGCCTGATCCCTGAGTAACCTGACAGAGCTTGAGCTGATTTGAAGAATAGAGAAAAATCTTAGTGTCCAGATGTGCCAGCCTGAGTGAGACACATCCACACACACTCAGTGGTGTGATTGCAAACTAAGGTGCATTTACTAAATACTGACCTGAAGGGGCTGAATACTGTACTTATGCAATCTTTACTTTACCTTATATATTTTTAATTAATTGACATTATTTTGTAAAAATCTGTTTTCACTTTGATATTAAAGAGGTTTTTTTTGAAAATGCTTGTCAAAAAAGCCAAATTATATTGAACATGATTTCATGTATAAAAGCAACAAAAGGATGAAACATCCAAGGGGGGTGAATACTTATGCAAGGCACTGTATGTGCACACACTAGGATGTGCAATTGGGATTACGTCTTAGACAAATTGATCAGTTGACCCCCAAAGTGCTCGACATGAGACTAGCGGGCACAATATGGAGCTTGTTTTCCTTTCTTTGCTCACAAGTGTGCTCCATACCCCGTCCTCACACTCTGATGAAGCCATCTTGCAATCCCATCATGACTGATAATTTAGGATTGAACATGCTCAAGGTATTTCGTGCATTGATCTTCATTATCGCATGTGGCAATTTTCTTGCCGGGAAATTCACAGAAAATTCAAAACACGCATTGATCTCTCATTTAATCTGACAGTTTTTGTTTCAACAATTTCTTAAAGTTCCACCAGATGATTAGATTTACATAACCTATGTGTGATTTATGAAACTGTCTCAAAGTCAACTAAAATTAAGGGACTGCTTCACATTGCTTCACATTTTTAATCAAAAGTATCTGTTGTTCCCGTCATTTTCTAAAGTAAAGTTCTTTAAAGCTGCAAATTTGGGGCATCGGACTGAGCTCAAAAAACACAACATCTAAGATATTATCACCATGTTCATATCTGGCCCGAATTTTTGTTTAAAACATTCTTCAAGTGAACTAAAATGATCAACAGAATGTGAAGAGGTTACAGCGTTTACGTATTGTGTGCAGAGACATCCACTGAAATGAGCATGCTAACTAGCTAGCCCCGGCCCGTCCTGTCTTGTAATACCACTTGTACCTGGAGAGGCGATAGTGACTCACTGTAGCGTCCAGTCTGTCAGTCTGTCAACTCGAATTTTCATTTTATCTTTACCCGCAAATGGGAGACTATTTCCCTGGGAGGAGGGCAGGTGGCAGCTCCAGGGGATAGACCTTCAGTTAGTCGTTAGCTGTAGCAACTAACATTCAGCCAGCGCAAACTCCAGAGCCTTTCTTATAATAATAATAATAATAATAATAATAATACATTTTATTTATATAGCACTTTAAAAGGCACTCAAAGACACTTTATATGTTAAAAACAGAAACAATAGAAGCATTTATAATAAGAACAAAATATGCGACATAACTCGTTTTGAAGGACTGGGGTGATGTGGTCTCTGGTGCGGGAGTGGGAGAGCAGACGGGCAGCTGAGTTCTGGATGTATTGTAGTTTATTGATGATTTTGGTGGGTGAGCCGTACAGGATGCTGTTGCAGTAGTCCAGTCGAGAGGTGATGAAGGCATGGATGAGTGTTTCAGCGGCTGCGGAGGAGAGGGAGGGACGGAGACGGGTCATGTTTTTGAGATGAAAGAAGGCGGTTTTTGTGATGTGATTGACGTGGCGTTCATAGGAGAGAGTTTGATCAAAAATGATCCCGAGGTTACGGACATGTGTGGAGGCAGGAACAGTGATGCCATCGATGCAGAGGGAGAAGTTGTGGTGGGAATTGTTTAATGATTTGGGGCCGATGATGAGGACTTCAGATTTGTCGGTGTTGCGTTTGAGGAAGTTTGCTTGCATCCAGGTTTTTATATCTGTTAGGCAGTTGGTGATGGTGGAGTGGATGGTGGGGTTGATGGATTTGGTGGAGATGTAGAGCTGGGTGTCATCAGCATAGCAGTGGTACTGGAGACCATGGTGGCATATGATGTCACCAAGGGGGAGCAGGTAGAGGATGAAGAGGAGGGGACCGAGTACTGAACCTTGGGGGACACCTTGAGAGACTGGGGCTGTGTCAGACTTGAATTTGTTGATGCTGATGAACTGTTCACGGTTGGAGAGGTATGATTTAAACCATGTGGAGGGAGGACTCGAGACGGGAAAGGAGGATGGAGTGGTTGATGGTGTCGAAGGCTGCGCTGAGGTCGAGCAGTATCAGGATGTTGAGGGAGTGTTCATCAGAGGAGAGGAGGTCGTTGGTGACTTTGATGAGGGCAGTTTCTGTGCTGTGATGAGATCTGAATCCGGGTTGAAATGGTTCATACAGTTGGTTTGAGTCCAGGTGAGTTTTCAGTTGATGGGCAACAGTGCCTTCCAGTATTTTAGACAGAAAAGGGAGATTGGAGATGGGTCTGTAATTGTTGTGAATGTCGGGGTCAAGGCCAGGTTTTTTGAGGATGGGTGTGACTGAGGCGAGTTTGAGGGCGGGAGGGACGGAGCCAGTAGACAGGGAGGAGTTGATGACAGAGAGGAGGTGCGGGCGGAGGGCCGGGAGACAGGCCATAACTAAAGTGGAAGGGATAGGGTCAAGGTCACAGGTCGGAGTCTTCATGCCAGAGAGTGATTTATTGAGATCCGAGGGGGAGATGAGAGAGAATCGGAAGAGTGACCGGTCAGTTAGTGGAGGATTTGCAGATACAGGGTTGGACAAAGCGGGGCTGAAAGTGGCCAATTGGTTGTAGATGGTGTCGATTTTTAGCTTTGTAGAACGTCAGAAAGGAGTTGCATTTCTCTGCTGTGGAGGAGTGGGAGAGATTGTCCATAGGTTTGAGGAGTTTGTTTATTGTGGAGAAGAGGACCTTGGGCTTGGTCGAACCAGAGCGGATGATGCCAGAGTAGTAGGTGGAGCGAGCAGAGTTTAGAGCCAGTTTGTATTGCTGTATGTGTTCCTTGTACGCCAGGGTGTGAACTGTGAGGCCGGTCTTTTTGGAGAGTCGCTCTAGTCTGCGTTTCCGGGATTTCATGAGGCGGAGTTCAGGGGTGAACCAGGGAGCAGTGTGGGTGAATGAGACAGTTCTGGTTTTGAGAGGGGCAAGCTGATCAAGGCAGGAGGATAGTGTGTTATTGTAGAGGTTGACCAGGTCTGAGGGGGAGGGGCTAAGGGAGGGGGAGAGTGTGGAGAATTTTTCAGTGAGACAGGCTGACAGGGATGAGGGGCAGACAAACTTGATATTTCGGAGAGTGACGGTGCGCGTGAGTTTGGGTTCTGGGATTGGGATGTCGATCTCCATGATGATGGCTAGATCGTCGGAGATGGTGAGGTCATACCCGGAGAGGTGGTTGATGGTGATTTCAGTGGAGCAGACCAGGTCCAGGATGTGCCCGCGGTTGTGGGTGGGGAAGTCGATGTGTTGAGTGAAGTTGAAGCATTTAAGCAGGTCCAGAAATTTGGTGGCAGTTTTACAGTCTGAGGAGTCGATGTGGATGTTGAAATCACCAAGCAACAGGATGGAAGGTGAGACGGAGCAGAGCTGGGTGAGGAATTCTGATAGGTCAGAGAGGAAGGCAGGGTTGGATTTGGGGGGGCGGTAGATAATTGCAATGACCAGGGGTTTAGGACCAGAGAGTTTGAATGTGAGCTGTTCAAATGAGGGTGGACTGTCGATGTTAGTCAGTCTGGTCTTGATATGTTGGCGGTGAAGAGGGGCAATTCCTCCACCGCGGCCATCAGGGCGTGGTTTATCCAGGTAATGATATCCAGTTGGGGTCGTTTGATTGAGTGCGTAGTAACCCAGGTGTTTTTGCCAAGTTTCAGTGAGACAGAGGATATCAAGGTTGTTGTCAGTGATGAATTCATTGATGATTGGGCCTTTGTTGCTTAGTGACCGAGTGTTGAACAGAGCAAGCTTCATGGAGTGTTTTGTGGTTGGTTGTGAGATTTTGGGGAGGGTTCTGAGGTTGGCTCCATTCACGTGCTGTTTGTTATGATGACGTAATGAGGGAGTGGTGGTACGCCGATGCTGAGTCCACAGAGACGGGATGGAATTGACAGAAGTGGGGTTGTAGATGATGAACTTGTGCTGGGAGCCGATATGAACATCACTGGGAGGGATGTAGCTGAGGTTGTTTTTGTTTATGGCTTTGTGAATGCGGTGTGAACGGGGCAGCCTCTCTGTCACAATAGTCTGAATGGGGAGAGCTGCAGCTGAAGGGGTTGATGACAGGGAAGGCCAGGAGGGGGAGCAATCACGGGAAACTGTGCTCAGAGGTGGCAGCGTAGAAGAAGAAGGGGCGTGTGTGTGTGTGTGTGGAAAGTAAATAGTCAGTCATGTGGACAAGAGTGTACAGCATGCTGTAAATTAGCCGCTAGCAGGCGGCTACCCAGCTTGTTAAAATGAATACCATCGTTCTTAAAAGAGGAAGAGCGTTCCCAAAACAGGTTAAAATTGTCAATGAAGCTCACGTTGTTGGTCCTGCAGGCGGCCTGGAGCCAAGTGTGGAGGCTGAGGACTCTGCTGAACCGCTGTGATCCACGGCCGAGTGTTGGAGTTGGACCACTAATAAAAGCAGACAGTCCACAGCTGTTTAAAAAGTGTAGAAGATTTTTAAAATCAATCTTGGTCAACTCAGACTGGTGGAGGGCTGTATCGTTGATTCCCACATGAACGATAATTCGCCGAATGGTAGACGGGAGGGCGTGCAGCAGGCCAGGCAGTTTCAGCAGGATGTCGTGAGCCGTTGCTCCGGGGAAACAGTGTGTGGTCGCGTTGAAGAAACGGGTATTCCTGATTATTGATTATGATTCCTGATTATGTTGTTTGTACTTTTTGGCTGTTATTTTTGGCTTTTTTTGTGTACATTTTTTTTAGCTGCTGTCTTGGCAAGGACTTCCTTGGAAAATAGATTTTAAATGTCAATGGGACAAAATAAAGTTTAGATGAAAAAAAAAAAGGTAAAAGTGTGCTGAGGAGAACTGCAGCGTTGATAATTCTCCCTGGGTTCATCACTACGAGCCATTTGATCCCTTCATGATTACATTACATTCATTTAGCAGATGCTGTTATCCAAAGCGACTTACAATTCAGATCCTATCACACCGTAGGCACAGCTACGGCAGCAATGTTGGGGTTAAGTGTCTTCCTCAAGGACACATCGACATGCGACTAGCGGAGCCGGGGATCAAACCGCCGATCCTCTGATTGAAGGACGGCCCACTTAGCCACAGTCACCCACAACATCAATATGATCAATATCAAAATACTAATTAATATACAGGTTTGAATATCCAATTTGAATTATTTCTCAATAATTTCTCACCTAAAATCATAATTCTAATGTCTTTTGATGCTTCTCACAAAATGATCTACTTGTACCTGCAAATAACTTCAAGTAATATTGTGTTGTTCACGAAAGTTAACTCACTTTAAACCCCAATGGTGTTTGAAAGACAATTTTTTGCTAAAGAATAAAAGCAGTGAGCAACATTGAAGAGCAGACATCTGATGGGGTTTGAATTCAAGGGGAGGAAATTCCCACACTCCCTCCTCCTCTCTCTGAGACAAAAGTATTCAGTAGAAGCAGGACTGGTATCTGCATGCATGAGGCCCAGCTCAGTTTTCTCTGTGATTCCGCAGTAGACAGCCAGGTGTGACTTTGAAGAACAGAATTCAGACACGATAGACAATCAATTTCTCTGGGATTTGCCGACAGATGGAGACGTGGGACAGCAACTGGCCGTGAGAAACACGACATTGGACTGCGAGTGTCGTCAAATCCGCTCCCGTATCCGACTCTGAATTGAGGTGAAAATGTCAGCCTCCGCTTCAGACTGGAAGTGCTGCTGGAGGAGTTCATTTTCTCTGAAGCTTTTATACCCAAGGAGGAAGCGTGACAGCTTCTCATCTATCTGTCAAGACACACACACTCTGCAGCTAATACAAAGCTGGGCTTAATGGGACTCATTTTCTAATGAGTGATACACGGACTTGGGTTGAAGGTTTCCCAGTCATTTAAAATCATTACTTTCTCTCCTCTCCAGAAAACTGGGATTTCATGCAATAAATGAAATAAATAAAGTTTGATTTCTAACCCAGACCTGCATCATTAATCATTAAATGGTCTTTTTCCTTCTCATTTTTAGGTTATTGTGTCATTTACATTTGATTGTGTGGAAATATATTTAGTTGAACAACAATTTCTCACCAGTTTAAAATACCTCTGAGTGGTTATACTGCTGAAATGAGGTTATGACTGTGTGCAGTGACAGGAAAGAAAACCACTTGTTGAACCTCCTGCAGTTGGTTCAACGAGTGGCTTAGAAATATGGCACTATGCGTCCTTCACGCTTGACACACTGACAAGACTAAGGTGATACAAAGTGGTCTAAAGTGAATGGCGCTAGTGCATATAGAGTGTGTCTAACTCCACTTTTGCTGGTTAAATGACGCATAAGCTGGGTGCAAAAGTAATGCGCATGGGGTTGTATTCAGTCTCTTTATTAATCATAGGTGCGTTTTGTGCGTAAAATGAATCAAACGAATTAAAGTGTCATCTCCCATTCCCTTTAAAAGCTTGCTATTTATAAAGCGGATCCAGCCATTTTTCATCATTAAGATTTTGTTTTTGAAAGGCTAAACGCCAACAAATATGGACTGAAGTAAGTATTTCGTTAGATACAAACATGTTGTGAATCTTGGAAATTAATAAAACAATAATAATAATTTGGGGGTTCTCTTTCACGCTCTGGAGAACGCGTTGGCCATTTCTAGGAAGAAATGGCTACAGGCGATCCTGCTACATCAGCATTTTTGGTCTCTAGTGTGCAAAAACACACCAACGCACAATATAAAACATGGCTAAAGTGACCTGGACATGGGGAGCAGATTTTCAGTGAGAATTCTCAGTAAGCAGTAAAAGATAACTGTGGCTATTCTCTGAATACCCTGAGAGGAACTCCTCCAAACACACAATGCCAAGTAGTGATTATTTTCTGATTGTGTGGCAGCCGTGTGCAAATCTTCCAAAACGTTTCATTTGGAAGTGAGCCTGTTATAAAAGTGGCACAAATACCACAGTCGGCGAGGTAGACCGGGCAGGGCTGTAGTGGAGGGCAAACACACCCGCCTCTCAATAGGTGGAGTGAAGTTTACACAGATATCCCAGGGTGTGTAAACACAGCTCAGCACCGCAGATTATTAAACTGGGTGGGGCCGCGGGCACGGAGAGCCTCTGCTTGCATACGCAATCACAATGCTGCCTCACTTAACAGTGAGCCTTAGTCTAAATCTGTTACAGTACTCAGAAAATAACAAACCCACTCCCTCTATTCAAACTGAGAACGGATCCTGCGGACAGTAAGTAAAACCCCACACACACACACTGATGCAACAGTAACTTTCATTTCTAAATAACTATGAAGGAAACCACACCGCCATTGAAACAGACTTTTAGAAAGAAGCCAAATTAGAAATAATCGTCTTTAATATGAGTATATTTATCATATTTTTTCTGATCTGTTCACATTGAAATTTGTTGTTGTCTTTCATTTTTCCCCCTTCCAAGATGATTTGAAATGAGTTGTGCTTTGCCATCTATTGATATATTGGTTTTTATTTGGCATCATGTTGTCAATGAAAGTCAACAACAACAAAATAAACAGTTGCTTGTTTGTATCTGTGTTCAGAAATTTGACAGCAGCCTGTAGACTATTTGTGAAACTTAAAAAGAGTTGACACCTGGAATTGTGCAATGTATAACTGTACAAATGAATGAATGAACTGTATTACTTTACAATTCAGCAGCAGAGACAAGTTAGAAAATATACACTTCCAAAAAGAGGAAGGGTGAAAATGTTTCTATCATCTAAAATAAAATAAAATCATAAGAAATCATAAAAGATTAAAAACAGACTATTGCTAGTTATGGTAAATATTAAAAATATATGTTTTGAGTTGTCATTTAAAACTGTCCACTGAGTCAGAAAGTCTGATATTAAAGGCAGAGTGTTCCATATTTTGGGGCGTCGTGGCCTCAAGTAGCATCCCCAAAGGTTGGGAACAGCTAAAGGAGCAGCTGTGGAGGATCTTAATGTTCGTGGAACATCATTAAATTATAGCCAGTGTGTGACGTAAAAGGGGGCGAGGCAAATGGGTGCCTTAAAAACTAAGAGAACAACTTTGAAATCAATTCTAAATGATACAGAGAGCCAGTGTCGGTTGCGTAAAGCAGGAGGTAAACTTGTTAAAAACCCCGGCAGCAGCATTCTGAATGCTGAATGAATACCTTTGCAATGACTGCTTTTGGTGGGCAAGTATACAGAGCATTACCATAGCCAAGACGACTAGAAACAAAAGCATGAACAAGCACTTCTGCATCTTGCTGGCTCAGCCGACATGTCTCCTTCGCTTAATTTCGCAAAAGACAGTTTAGATCAATACCTTAAAATGAGCTCTAAAAGTGAGGTGATGATCTAAAATGATGCGCCAGTACACTTTGTTGTGAGTAACAATACCGGCAGCACTAATAGTAGCTGTGGTAGTTGAACTGGAAATACACTGTTAAACTTCCTAACACTACTTCTAAGCAGCTTATTGACAGCAAGTATTTAAATATATATGATAAAATACAATCTTTTATTTCCTAAATATTTAAATTTATGGAAATAACCACTATAGATGACATAACAAAGTAAAATGATAACAGTGAGAATTTTTGACAGTGAACACTGACTTGATGGTTGAAATAATTTTTTCTGGATGGTGGTCAAAAGAAAAGTTTGTCTGGTGCCTTATTGTCAATTGCATTTCTTAGACAGGAAATATGAATCAGCAAAAATCTGCCAGTTGAACTAGTAGCAACTAGTAGCGATGTAATCCCACAGACTGAGCATTGGCTTAATTCATCATTTTATTCCTGATTGTTTGAGTTCCAAGTAGCACAGCTTGGTGGGAAAGAAGAGGCATGTTCACAGGCATGCTCACAGTTCCAACCACATCCATTATCAGCAGATGTAAACCTCTTGTCAACCCTCAGGAACATGAGCAGCAGCAGGAGGCGCTGTTCTTCACTTTTCCCAAACATATGATGAGTGAAATGAGCTATATTTACCCCGAAGGATGATACATATTTACACTGACCTGGCTGATAATGGAAGCTTTATGGTTCACATTGCATCCTTGTCTCTAACCTATATTATTAACTGATAGCACAGACTGGAATACCATCAATCATAAAGAAGTACAGTGTGTATTTGTGTAGGTTTGCCTGTTCAGCTATCTTTGTGAGGACCAATGTGGGTTTTCGTCCTTCAGAGAGAGGACATTTTGGGAATGTGAGGACTTTTTGGCTGAGGGGGTAGTCAAGGTGCATCTTGAGAGAAAGTTGCATGTATACATTTATTTTGTTATTGTTTATATATTGTTCAAGGGGCTTGAGGTATAGTGTTCTCAGTTTAGTTACAAGATGGGTCCTCTGCAATCATGAAGTTTCTTCAGAGTGAATGAACAAGCAAAGAACAGAAATAGAGGCTAAGCTAAAATAGAGAAAAAGCTGTCTTTGTGAGGACCAATTTGATTTTTAGACCTTGAGAGTGAGGACATTTTCAGAAAGTGAGGACATTTTAGCCTGTTCTCGTTTTGGGACAAACCTTAAAATGCCTGTTTGATGGATCAGACTTGGTGTTAATGTTCAGGTTAGAATGCGGTTCAGGTTTAGGTTGGATAAGATTAAGGGGCCCAAGAGTGCATAATGTTACTGATAGTCCTCACACAGATAGAAGCACAAGGTCGTGTGTGTGTGTATGACCTTATTATGTGTGGGCTGCAGCGGTAAGTGATTCATTGCCATGAACCGCAAGGATTCATATATCAGCGTATCCTATACACACACGCACACACGCACAGCATACTAACACACTATAAACCACACATCATCACCTTCTGCACACTCACTCAGTACGCGTAGCTGGCAATCACTGAGATAGAACGCTGGACCTACTTCACTCTTGGCCCCCCCCCTCCCCACACACACACATGCTTTGCTCGCACTTGTGCAATC